CATGGCTTTCTACGCGGATGTTCGCGCGCATCGTGTACGGCGCAGTCGAGTTGAAAGAGGAGAGCATAGGGTGCTAGGGGATCATGGCGCTCCTAGTGCTCGAGTCGTGATAGAAAGTGCAATAGTAGGTACTAGACAAAGTACATTGCGATGAAGGGCATCGTGATTTTGGTGTCGACATGTTCAGAGACGTCGATGATGCCCAGGTGCATTCCGGCGCTACTGCGTAGCTAAGCATCGCGTCGCGTCGCGTCCGGGGTTCGGCACAACACCTGCCGCAAGCTCCTTGCCTGCCGCCTCACGTGCGCATCCGGCACCATGCCCACAGATGCTGGCCCATCCTTCCGTGTACAGTATCAGTGCGAGAGACTTGCATGTCTTCGGGTGTGAAATGCCCACGAGGCTGCAAACTTTACCCGGCTGTCTGTGCCCCACCCCCGCGATGTGGGGTTAGGCGTTGCGCGCATGCAACCCTCCGAGGATGGCTACTGTCAATGCTGCTGGCGGCGATGCCTGTCGCTAAGGTTATTGTTAGCTCTCTTTACTAAAAACTAGTACACTACTTAAAGTAACTATTAGTTATATTACTACTACTACTTAGCTAAAATAAAGTATAAGTAGCTAAAATTTTTACTTATAAATTTTTACTTATATAAACTACTATAAATATAGTAGCTATAGTATATTAAAATTAGCTTTTTTATATAAACTTAAACTAACTTAAGTAAAATTTACTTTATAATAGCTATATAATAGTATAAATTATATAAGCTAAAGCTAAGCTTTAATATACTTACTATAATAATATAGTTTACTAGTACTACTATATAAGCTAAAAACTTAATTTTAAGTAATTTAATAGAACTTAAATAAAATACTTTTATACTACTAGCTTTACTTTTAATTACTTTATATAACTTATAGTATAGTATAAATAAGGTAGTTTATAATAGCCTCTATAATAGCTTCTAGAATAATAACCTTAAGAGAACTTATAGAGCAGCGCGTTTAAGAGAAAAGTAATTAATTAATAATAAAGAGGCTTAATTAAGCTTTAGTATATAAGGCAATATAACTAGTAATAAGATTAGCTTTAGACTTACTAACGCTAGAAGAACTTATAAAAGAGGTATAAGATGTTAGAAACGTAGTTAGAGCTTATTTAGTGTGCTAGTATAGCTTTAGTATTAGATTTAAGCTACTATTTACGTCTTTAATAAGTCTTTAAATCTTTAATTTATTATAAGTAGTAAAATAAGAATAGAGAGTATATATATAGTAGAAGCATAATTTTACTTACTAAAAAATTTAGTATTTTATTACTTTGCAATCTATAGCTTTATTAGTTATAAGCTATTAAGAATATATAATTATATTATAATTCTCTCTACTATAGGTAGACATTAGTATTTATAAAATAGTTGCCTTACTACTCTAAATTTTAAAAGCTTTAACTATACTAGAGGTAGCAGCGCTAAGAACTTAAGCCTTAGCCTACTTAACGCCTGCACCTCTAAACGTAAGATTTTAACCTTTTTAAAAATACGTTTTTTTGTGTACTAGTAATAGACCTTACTTTTTTTAGACTAGTTTACACTATAGAATTAGTTTACTAATAAATTATATAACTTATTTATATAAACTTAGTTATATACTATTTACTAGTACTATTATTTATACTAAAAAATACTTAAAAAGCGTTATAAGTATAAAAGTAAAATAAAAAGATAATTATATTTATTTAAAAAATAAAATTTTATAAAAAAGCTTATAAGTAAGTTAAAAGTAATAAAAAGAAACTATTAGAGGCTTATAAGTAGATTTAATTAATAACCTTAGCTCTAGCTTTGCTTAAAATTAATTAGCAAGCTCTAATTTATGTGTTTGTTTATTGGTCGCTTTATAACAGGTGCGTCGTGCAAGCTGCAATGCATCCCTGGGTCTCAACTGTTGCTTGGAGCAGTCTTCTTCTGAGGTGCATTCCCAGTGAACACGATCAATACAGCGGAAAACATGGCGATAGAGCAAATGTTTGAGGCGTTGCCTCTACACTATTTGCAGCATGGCATCTCCAAGTTTGGTGCTGGCAATATCGCCTTGGCAGTCTTCTTGACCGCACTTTTAGGTGTACTTGCAGATTATGCTTGGATGCTGTACATGAGATCGAAGATGGTAAGAGCGACACACTATATCCGATGATGGTACTAACGTTGAGTAGCCCCCAGGGCCCTTCCCATACCCCATCGTTGGCAACACGTTCCAGCTGCCTGACAACAAGCCCTGGATTTTCTTCGAGGAGCTATCCATGAAATACAACACGCCGCTGATAACGTATTGGATCGGACGTAACCCAACCGTTTGGATCAACGATGCATGGACCGCAAATGAACTACTCGACAAAAGAGCTGGCATATACTGCTCGCGCCCGCGCATGCTTGTCTTTGCCGAACTCGGATCTGGCCAAAACAACCTCGTGAACCTGATCACTACTACGCAGGCGCAGCGGGAGCGGTTTCGGATGCTACGCAAGGTGACGCACCAGGGCGTTGGCATCCAGCAGGTGAAGAAGTACCGCGACTTCCAAAATGATGAGAGCAAAGTCGTCGCCCTCGATCTCCTGAGCACCCCCGAAAATTACGTCGCGCACTTTGAACGCTACGCGACCAGTGTGGTCTCTATCATCGGCTTTGGCAGACGCGTTGCGAGCCACGAAGATCCAATCATCACCGAGGTCATCGCATTGATGCATCGAGCAGCTGATCTGAACGTACCGGGCAAGACATTCCCTATGCTAATGGAGACCTTTCCGATTCTTGCTCGCGCACCTACGGAATATGCCCCATGGAAGCACGGCATGGGATCGAAGAAGAAGTCATCCCGCGGCCATGACTTCTTTTATTCGCTCGCCAGAGAAGCAAACGAGAAGCCAGGACACGAAGACTGCTATTCAAAGATGTTGTTTCGCGAGCAGGAGAAATACGGTCTCAATCACAAGGAGATTTCGGCATTAACTGGTAACCTGTTCGGTGCGGGGTCCGACACATCAAGTAGTACGCTCATCACCGCTGTTCTCGCCATGCGAGCGTTCCCAGAAACTATGCAGGCCGCGTGGGAAGAGCTAGATCGCGTTGTCGGAGAGGACCGTAGTCCTTCGTTCGAGGACGATGCAAACCTACCTTACATGCGAGCATTTGTAAAGGAAGTGTTCCGATGGCGATCAGTAGCCATTATCGGTGGACAACCACACGCTCCAGTTCAAGACGATTACTACAACGGTTATCTGATCCCGCAATCCGCATGGGTACAGGGCAACGTCTGGGCGATACACCATAACGAGCGTGACTTTCCTGAACCCGACCGTTTCAACCCGAACCGCTTCTTGAAGGACCATCCTGATTCGCGACCTTTCCCCGGCGAAAGAGGGTACATGACATTTGGTTGGGGCCGTCGAGTGTGCTCAGGTCAGGCGCTTGCGGAGCAGGGCACATGGCTGACGGTAGCGCGATTGGTCTGGGGCTTCAGGATCGAGCCAGCACTAGATGAGAATGGGAAGCCCATTTCGGTCGACATATTTGATTACACGTAAGTGTCTACTGGAAAGCGATCAGTATGTGAGATACTGACATCTGCAAGTAACGGTTTGAACATGCGACCGCAGCCGTTCAAAGTGAGCATAAAGCCTCGGAGTGAAAGGATACGTCAAGCTATCGTACGAGAGGGCGAACAGGCATTGGCAGACCTTGCGCAATACGAGGGTGAGACGAAGTATCGCATGAGTACATTCTACAAGAAGTAGATCTTGCCATGAGAAAGTAGTAGCCGGGACGGATTTGACGGTAGTGAGTGGTGGGCTGACGCATAGTCTTGGTCAGCCAAGGCGAATGTCCATCCAACTCTTTTTAACCGGTGATGCCTCCAATAAGGTTGATGTGGTCCCAGTACCAATTCTTTCCCAATGCGAGCCCCGACACTGAACTACCAGGACATGATGCTCTCTATCGTGTCCATGACGAAAATACCAGGGCAAGTGCAGTACATAAGACTCCAAGAGAAAGCTGGGAAGATCGTGAGCTGTAGGTTCAACATCAATGAACGTTGATGCCAGTCCGATGCGGGAGATTTTCGGGTCAGGCTCAAGATAGTATGAACGAGATCTCTGCGATTGCGGCAGTGGGAGCGGCATTATACGAGTAACGTGAGCACTGATATGGATGTATATAGTCGGTGCCTGTGTGATGGAGTCGTATAGTGTTTGGTAAGTTTTCCAGTCAACAATTTTCCCGTCGTTGAGCTCCGGCTTCACTGCGCATGAAATTTCAGTCTTGTCTCGGGACAATCTGGCGTTGTCCAACATCTTCAACCCCCTGGCCCATCGTACAGTGCCTTCCCATCCGGTCCACGACCAGCTAGGAAATTCGACTCGTCGTCTAGCTGGGCTTTCCACATCCCAGCTCAAGTTGCTGACGAATCTTCGGTGCGATATGTTAAGCGGTGTTTTGTCCGACCCAAAAAGATCGTTGTCACAGTACGGCAGTCCCCAAAGGTGTCTGAGACCATTTGAGTGTCCCAGAGACGCGAAGATCCCAAGCATTGCATTCAGTACATCGCTTTCATATGTGAGCGAGCGCCTTGTGAACGCTTCGATCCGGCCGAGGACTGTCATAGCATAGCCCTTGACAGATGGGAAGAGGCCTGGGTCTTGTTCTTCGAAAAAGTATCCAGTTTTTCCCCCACCACGACGCCAGAACATATGTTCGGGGGCTATCCAGCCTTCCATCCGAAATCTTTTTTGACATTCGAAATAAAGTTGAGTGTCGGTGAAGACAAGACGTCTAGTCGGAAGCAAGCCTTCTTGATATGTCCAGCCTCTCGTACTCCATGCCGTGTTCTCTAGGGTATCGTTACAAAACATGGGCGTGGAATCTAGTTTTCGCTGCCCAATGTAGAGAGGGTGGTTCACTTTACGTTGCCGGCTAACACCTGGCAGTCCGTAAGCCCCATCATATCCCGCCGCTGCGATGATTGTGAAGACAGACCCTGCATAGACCTTGTCCATTTGTTTGAGCTGTCGATGAAAGTCTTCTGAAGATTTCTCCAAGCAATATCTATCGACCCAAAGGTAGTCGTACCCAAGCATCAGCGTGACTTTGATGGCATCCTCGATAGTTCGAGGTAAGTTGCACGATAAGACGTCCGGCTCCAACGACTCAGCGCCCGCTTGCTGGCCAGGATGTTGTGCGTCCGGCTTGCCCCACACATAGCTCAATGTCACATACGACCCAGCTGGTGGCAGTTTTCCAACTAAGCGGTTTCTGCAGTCGATGACCTTCAGATTGTGTACGTTGGTATCGTACTTTGACTCGGTCAAAAACTGAAATTTGTAACATCCATGACCCTTTACGCATGACGCGATCCACTCGCGGGCTTCTGTGTAATCATCGATCAGAGGTGTAATTGCTCGCAGATTCTGACTGATGGGTCCATCCGGATCGAAGATGATGGAACTGCGGATACCGAACAAATCGAAGAGACTGTACTCCTTGCGTCGTTCAATACAAAGTATGGGTGCTTCGATCTTTTCGAGAAGAGGTGTTACTGCGACGTGAGATTGCACTGCGTTAAGGTTGCACACCCCGCCTTCTGGCACCTGACCCATGCTGCCGGATAGGAATCTGCAGAGACTACAAGTTTCTGGCTTCAATCGAGTTATTGTCAAGATGGTTCGGACCGGTACCCCAGGGTTGAATCGAAGTGCATCGTCCAGATCGAAAGCTGCGCACTGCGAACAGAGGTTGTTAGGCGGTTCGACCACCATCGGGCTTTGAGGAAGAGGAGATAATGTCATGGTCCGACAGGTCTTCTGGAATCGCAGTCGATCCGCATGAGCTGATCTTGATTTGATGTAAATCTGAGTGTGGAATTGCGCAGAGGTGGAAGTAGAACAACTGCGCCCCATGCCTGCAGGACGCCCGCAACATTCGGTAGCCAGTGACACAATTAGCTCAGCAGCGCGACATGGGGAAACTTGGATTCGATTTTGACTGCAGCATCGCTGTTAGCGTTGTGCATAACCCCAAAGTGAAGAAATGCTTCTCCAAACGCGCTGATGGGATTCAGACGTCTCTTGTATCTCCGGCATGATGCGACCGCTTGAGGCAATGGTGAGGATGGTGGAGAGGCCGTTCCCGATGCTATTGTCGCCTTGAACATCAGGAGCGTCATCCGTGATCAACGCCAGATCGGAATTTGCCTGTTACGGGCAGACCTGCTGATGTAAGCACGCACGTACCATCGCGTCATCGCGGTGCGCTGCCCTTGCAGAAACCGAAAACGTCTCCTTGTTGCATCTCGGTATCGTTATTGTTTATCGTGACCTGGCAACATTAATCGCACTCATGTCGCATGCATTGGGTCTAAACGCAATTCGACATGCGCGGTGTAGCACACTGACGACATCGATTGAACAACGATGAAGCAACCCCGCGCTTCTATCACTCAAATCTCGGCCAGGTCTTCACCCAAATCTATGATGGCGAGTTCGAGTTATCGAGGATGCTTCATTCACCATGCCATTTTCTGTCATCAGGAATAGCAGGCAGCTCCAACCGTTGACCGTTGGTAGGCTACACAGCAAAGTTCGTCTACGAGATCCTTTGAAACACGACCTCTCAAACTCCATTGTTTGGGCGCATTTGCTCCTGTTTCCGGCACTCATCTTTTGTGCGGCAAAGAAGTCATTTCTTTGTTGTAGTATGGGCCATTCGCTGCTCATCAAGACAGCGTTCTGCGCAATGGAAGACGAACTACTCACGGATGTCGCACCTCTGACAAAAACTATCATCTTTTGTATCGATTCAGCTCTTGTGCCCAGCAAGCTAAATGGCCCCACCGTACGCAAATTTTTATAACTATTTTAGATATGATGCCAACGAATTCATCCATCAGAATAGGAATTGGACGACTGGTGAGTAGATTTGCTAAGTACAGACAAAGATCACTTGCTTATAGTAGCCACTAGCGGAACGTGTTCGGACAATTTCTACTATATGGGCCGGGGATGGGAACGTCAAAAATTACTATGCTACTCAAACCCAGAATGCGGGTGGAAATTGGAAGGCGACCAGTCCTGGATTGCCAAACCCGAACCCAATACCAGTTAATCCATTCACGGCCGCAGATGTTAACCATGCAAAGACTACGCAAACTATGCCTGCATCTGCAACTGCTCCCGGAGCGAATGTCCTGCCTGTCGCCGCTGCTCCTGCATACGTCTCGTCTAACCTACATGACTTCTGGCCAAGGATGCCATGGTCTGCACCGGACGAACCCGCTCCACCATTCCTTGACATGCAAGCGTTGAAAGACGATGTTGATTTCGTAAAGGAACATTGGCTCGACACTGAGCCGCGCATGCCTCCACCGAACGACAACTCTCGTTGGCATGGCATCAAGCTATTAGGATCTGGTAGCTATGGCGCAGCCGGTTTGTGGGCTGAAGCCGATGCAGCAAACAATATTCGTGACGTATGTATCTAGTCACAGACACGATCAGTGCCCTTTCCTCAGCGATAAGCTAACATCAACACCAGAGAATGGTGATCAAAGAAGCCAAAGCCTTCACACCAAGCCGATGGCGCGATCCCAAGAACTGGCGGGACCGATTGCCACAAGAAATACGTATCCACCAGCTTCTCGAAGAACGTCGTGTCGTGGAACCAGCCATGTGTCGTCATATTATCCGTTGCCGCGCACACCGACTATGGATGGAACATAGAAGATACAGATTGTATCTAGATTACCATTCGGGTGGCGACATGAACGCGGCAATGACATTTCATGCTCAAAGCTGGAAGGACGGGAAACCCACCGACGAGGACATATTCGTACCAGAGGGGTTCGTCTGGTATACCATCAAAGCGCTCGCGACTGCTTGTCTGGTGCTTCGCGAAGGCACCATCGATGGCACTACGGCTGATGGCTGGAGACCCATCACCCACTTGGATTTGCAGTTACCAAACATACTTTTGAATGTTTATACTCCACAGATTCCGGAAGCCAAAGGAAAGTCAAAAGCGGGCTCCTCCAAGAGTGCTAGACTCAACCGTGCCGACGCTGACGATTGGAGGGCTAGAGAGCCTCCCGTGATGCCTGTTCTCGCAGACTTTGGTATTTCCTTCTTCAGTCCGGATCGTGGCAACTGTCCGATTACCGACAATCCTGACGACTATGTCATCCACGAAACTGACACGCGATATCCTCCTGTAAGTACCTTTCTTTCTCCGAAACGTCACTCGCTACGACAGCTAATCGCTCCTAGGAAATGCACCAACAAGAGGAACCGTACTATCTCGAGTTGGGTGAAAGAACTGATGTTTGGGGCATCGGTCACATCGCATGGAGGCTCTTATGTAATAAGCAAGTTGATGTATTTGGTCCGATTCGTTGCGACACAAAACCTTCGCGCAGCACGAAAAAAGATGACCAGCACAAAATCCCGTTAGCCCTTAGACATGAGCGCAACTTCCGTCCCAATGATGACAAAAGTGTACTCGCAGAGAAGAGCACTGCACAATATACAGCTGGGAAGTACGGGCGAGAAGTTAAAGAGTTAGTGCGGAGGTGCTTGAACTTCGATCATAATCTCAGACCAACTCTGAAAGAAATCCTTGCTGAGGTCGATCAATCCTTCTCAGAGGACGACATTTTGATAGACCAGGTCAGACACAAAGACGGGCTACGACTCACTATGCCAGATACTCCTGAGTTCGCCATTGGACAGCCAGTCGATGCAGCTAAAAGAAGGGGACGTGAATGAGACTTAGTCTGGCCGCTGCTGTAACACTAATGCAACCACCACTCAACATTGGCGGACGCTTCCTTGGAATCACCCTCCCCGATGTTCTCCGCTATCATTACGCCAGCAAAATCCAATCGACCTTGGCGTGAGGCCTCCTGTGTCTGCACCACGGCCTAACGAAGCCACTACTAAGGAAATATTCATTGGGAATTATGATGAAATTAGATTTCCGCTCCAGTTATACCAGAGCCGGCTATCATTCCATCATCTTAGTTGGCTGGCTTGTACACTCTCGTGTCTATCTTGTTGGACAACCCCTCCACCAGAAAATCTGCTTTACTATGCAAGCCAAGAGACTATCGGAATTGTAGCCAACATTCTTGCTCATAGAGCAATCCAATGAAAGATTGAGGGCACGGCTCATGTGTTGCTGAATGCGGGGTTCAACCGAAGCTGAGTACCTGATACGATACGTTCTACACCATGCTACCAAATCTACTTGAAGCTTGAATGTTTCCAGACGTTGAGAGACGTCATCTCCACATCACCACGCCGTCTCCTCAAATCCTCAAGGCCAATGTCTAGGAACTAGAGGCACAAGTCTTCGGAGCCAAGGTCTGATCCATCTAGGAAGCCTCATTATGGGGCTATGGTGCGAGGACTCCACGACATCAGAGAGTCATAGCTAATACTCATCAATCGATTTGCCTGAGACATAAGGCCAACACCAAGAACTCGGACACAATTATCCGTGGAGAAATCACTCCCGTCCACTCCACACTGCGGGGAGGACTGGGGTAATCATACTAACTCAGCGGGTTGATGCGAGATGACCCTCATAGATAAACCAACACAGCGCTATAATGAGACATAAAGTGGAACGAATTAGCCCAACGGGTACCTGATAGTCGTGTGTGGTAGTGTTTACGGATCCTACGGGGCGCCCCATATGGAACGCCTTACCCGGCTCCATGTTGCGAGCCGTTGCGTAGCCGCTTTTCCCGGCTGGCATGCTCGATTTGGATATAGATTCTCGCGACATGTTGGGGGAAGAAGTTTGGGAGAGGGCGAGAGATGTATATAAGAACGTCTTGTGTCGTCTAAAGATCATTCCTCATCAGTTCGACTCGTCTCAACTCTCACCAGCTCTTGAATACCAGTATCCAAACCACAGACACCCTTATCACACTACCAATCTTTCTCATCACCATCACCATGCGTTTCGCTGCCGTCATCGCCGCCTTCGCCATCACGGCCGCCGCTCTTCCTGCATCCTCTATGAAGGAGGCTGAAGCTTCTCTTGGTAAGCGACGCTCTCGTTGCATGGGTCTCAAGGCCGGGAAAACTTCTTGCTAATCATTCCATTCCAAAAAACAGACCTTCAGGCTCGGCAAGCTTGCGCCGACGTCGACAGGTACAACACCTGTACTTCAAACTGCACTCCGCTTGCCCCGTCCGGTGCTTGCATTATCAACTGCCTCATCGCCTACTGCTCTTAAGTCATTGGTGCTTGGAGCTGTGTTCAGGCGGCAAGCAAAGGGAAGACCATGGCTTCGTCGTTGGATGGGGGTAATCTTGGCCGTACCCATATTTGTACCTAGAGTCTGTAGACTGGCCGGCCGTTCGTTGCTATCATGCACAATGAAAACCTGTTATAGTCAACCATTCCCAAATCCCATCTCTTCCAAGTGAAGGACCCATAGCGTGACATCTCAAAGGAAAAAGTAAATTGTGTATAGATTTGGTATCAAGTTGAGTACAGCCCCTTAACGCCAAAGTAACAAACCCTCATGACCCAAGAGAATTCGCCGTACATGACGCTGAAATACCAAAATCAAGCCATTACACCATGCAATCCCGTCCAAACGTCATCATATCATGTCATGTCGTGTCGTCTCCAGTCTATCAGCGCCTTCCAAAGCCACCGGCCATCTGCTTTTGCACATATTTGGCGCCCTCTTTCTTGATGATAGGTAGGGCGTAGTCCTTGAACATGCCCATAGCCTGCCTCTGCCACTCCGGCTGTCCAGGCTTTCCCGGCTTGCCGCCTCCACCTCTGCCACTCCTGCGGCGGTCGTCGTAGCGATCATCGTCGTCGTATCGACTGCGCCTATCGCGACCTCCATCGTCATAGCGAGAGTCGCGGCGCGGCTTGCTGTTGAACATGTCGTCGTATTTGTTATCGTAGCCGTCGTCGCGGCGTCTGCGATCGTCACGGGGCCTGTCACGGCGTTCGCGGTCATCGTAGTAGGGGTCCTTGTCTTTGCGGCGGCGGTCGGACTTGTAGCCTTCGGACTTGTAGCCGTCGCGGTCACGGCGCCCATCGTCTTTGGGCCTGCGAGGAGGATAGTGCTCGTCGTATGAGTCGTAGGTGTCCTCGTGCCTGGGTCGGCGGGGGCGGTCGTCGCGGCGTTCCTCGCGATGCTTGCGTCGAGGTTGGGGTGGTGGAGATTCAGAGTCAGAGTCGGACGAGTAGGACGGTTGCCTGCGATGGCGACGTGGTCGGGCTCCACGAGGGTCACGTTCTTCTGCTGTTTGATTAGCTGCAGTTGCGAGGGGCGCTGACAGGATGGCATACCTCTAGGTGGAGGTGGCATAGATTCGGGTGGTGGAGGTGGCATGCCCTCCATTCCTGGCGGCGGAGGGGGAGGCGGCGGAGGATAACCTTCGTGGCCTGGTGGAGGCGGTGGAGGATAGGCGCCATGCGGGGGCGGTGGAGGGTTGTTGGGATATGGCGGCGGCGGCGCATCGTCGACAGGCCTCTCCTTGCGGGAGCGGCGGTGATCGCCTCTTCGGCTGTCGCGGTAGTCGCGGTAGTCTCTCTTGTCGTCCTTTCCAGGCGCCCATTTTGGCTTGCCGTTCTCGTAGCTGTCAAAGCGGTACGTGCCCGGATCTGCTTCCCTGTCAACGCTGTGCCGATTCAATGCATGCTGGACATCTTACGTGATGGCGGCGGGGGCGGCTGCTCCGGTGAGGAATGTCTGTCTCTATCGCGACGACCCATGTTGCTTGCTTGTTGTAGCGGTCAAGGTGCAGGTAGTGGTGGTGGAGTGTAGGTGTCCAGGTAGCGTGGTCTAACAGTCGGCGGCGAACATCTGACACTTAAAGCGCGGCTCTCGGCTAGGCCGCACCTCTCAGCCCAGTCTCACAAGACACCATGTCGTCATATGCCCTAATGCCTCAGCTCGTCGTGCACAAGTGCAAAATTTGCGGGGCTGCCGACGCATTCGAAGCTTCGCGACGGCGTGGCAGAGCTCAAGTGGGCTGTGTATGTAGGCTGTGATCATCGTGCATGGGCAGCGCGTCTAGACGGGCCCACTTCTGCAAGCCATTGCCGTCCGCGATGCTCAACTGGCCAGGTTGTGCGCCTGAAGAGAAGGGCCGTTCCCCCGCAATGAAGCGTGGGATAAACTGAAGATCAGGGTCTTCCGGAGATTTCGACGATGGGGTATTGCTACGTGGTGTGCAGAGGGTGGTGCTGCCTTATGCTGATCTATCACACGCCCGTATAGACGTCAGGGGACGCTGCACTGCCCAGTCGCTACACCTGCTGACTGATCTCGTTACCTCAGTCTTCATATCCTGACCTTGTCCACGGTCACGGGAAGCGGTGAACTTCGATACCACATGCGGACTAGATCCCATGACTCAAGTCTTCGTCTACATCATACTCGGGCTTCAATCGTATCGCGACCGAATTTTGACTCTTCGGCGACATCACAGTAGCTCACCAAGATCCAACGTCACCTCGTTCATCGAGCAGACTACGTCACACAAACGGCACGATGGTAAGAGCATGTCGATCAAACTATCACACTCATCTAGGCTTGATCTGAATTTCCACCAACGTCACCGTGGTTCAGAACATCTCGATAGCCTGAGGGGGCTGGGAACTAGACTGGACCTGCTTAGAGTTGCAGTCTACACGATAAGCGTCTTAGCGGCCTCGCTCTTGAACGTACTACGTAGTAGACTAGATCTGATCAACCTCTGCTGCTGCTCTCTCTTGTCTCTGCTTCCTCTCTATGTGTAGGCTCAGAGCAAGCTCGACCAATATTAACTGAAGCCGTCCAGACGGTCACGAGGAGCTCCTGCGCAAGAGCCCTTCTGAAGCTGCAAGAATTGAACTCCAGTGGTCCTGTCAAGATGTTCCTGGACCTCGGTAAACTACGTGTACGCCGTCTTGGTTCGGACGCGAGCCCCGGAACTCTATCTAGCTAGCTTTGTTGAGATATCAGGTACCATATCGCAATAATTGCTACCTCTATTGTGAAACAAAGGTTACCTGTTCACCTGCTAGCGCGACTGCAAGCCAGCAGATTTCATGTACAGATTTTGATATTGGTTGATTTCTGGCTTGTTTTTGGTTTGACGGGTCACCAATGGTCGCACCTCATACAAGGGAAAACCTGAACACCCTAGAGGCTACATCAAGAAGAAACCCTGCAAATTAGGTGGCCTAACGTCGATGTAGGCTCCAGACCTGTCCAGGTTTTCCCTAGGTTGACGTGGTCGTGTACTGGACTTGGTCATCCCAAACGACTATATCCGCTCTCGATACACTGGAGGAGCTGAAAATCTACTGTCGGCTACCTCGCTGAGAGTGGTGCCACCTCATACAAGAAAAAAACTGAACAGGTCTGCAGGCTACGTCAAGCCAAAACCTTGCAAAGTAGGTGACCCAATGTCAACGTAGGCTCCAGG